TAAAGATCTAGTTCCAATGCTGTTGATTGAGAATCACTGAATATATAAGGAATAACCAATGGCTTAGCTTCATGTGGATTGGGTTGTGTTATTTGTCCTCTGCTACACCTGCTTTGTGGGATAGCTGCTTCAGCTGAAAGTCAGAAATGCCATTTCTTTCACTCTGGCAGCTCAGAAGATGTGCCCTGTGATCCAGCCTTCTTGTGTTGGTCGTAACACCATGTGTCAGGCAAAGGTTTGCGTTCAGGGTGAGTCCCTACCGATGAGATGTTTTCATCTTTGCTCACAGCAGGGGGATCAAACAGAAGAATGGGATGCAGGGTTGAAGGAAAAAAAAAGGTTCTGGGAATTTATTATTTTTGTGGGATTTTTTTCTTTTTCTCAGAGGGAAAATAAAAAAGACAAGGCAGCCCTCTTGGCAAACAGTTATATTAAGTGCAGTTTGTAAGAATCACGTATGAAAAGAAGTTGAAAGGATTTGGATTGTTCATATAGAAAGACGACGAAGGAGAGATAATGTGTAAAAGAATTAAAAAGAAGGAAGATGTTTCAGAAGGTAGCTTGTGAAATTTACATTGCCTGCTTCTAATGACAGAACAAGGGACCAGTCACACTGTTACAGAGCAGAAGATGGATACGCAAAATGTAATTTTTCTTCTCCATATGATCGACCAAGCGACTCACTGCCACTAGAAACGTTTAAGACAACATTCAAATTAGAGTCATTCACTCCTATAGAAACGAACAACGGCATTAATTGTAACAACAGCGCGCAGAAGCGATAACACTGAGCTTAAATTCCCTCAATACTTATCAGAAGAAAATTAACGCAGGGATTAAGCTGCATATTGAAGGCTTCTTACCTCTGTGTCAGCGACGTCTCATGTTGGCTCCTTCCAGACAGAGCTCAGGACCACGGCGGCGATGCAGGGTCACGGTTTGTGCTATGGCAGCTGCACAGACAGCATTACATCGATGGATTTCACTTTCGCTTCCCTGGTAATTTTGTTAAACACTTGCTAGTGACTGCGATTTGATTCTGTTCAAGAGTTATTCTTTTGAAGTGTTTTTCTTTTCTCTAAAGAAATAAAATACTCTGAAGTTAATCAGGGACCTTGTGTGCTTTTTTACATGTCACCAGGTCATGTATCTCGGGCTGATGACAGGGTTGCAAATGGAGACAAAGTGGCCAGGGGCTGCACTAATCCCTGGCATGAGGGAAGTGGAGGAGCAGCAAATAAAGCAGGGCCCATGTTAAGTGGGTGGACAAATGCTTTTGAAAAACCCCTCTAAATAGACTAATTCCTCTTTCCCCTACATGGACCTGGCAAACACTGTCTTGTGTTCACCCTGGAGCTGATGCTGGGAATTGTACCCTCCTGAGGGCTGCAGGAACTAACACTGTGTGATCCACCTCAGATTCAGCAGAACCAGCTGTGATAACCCCAGCAGCCCTTTCTTTTATTGTTGCTTCATCACCCTAAGTAAGTGCAGCTGCTGCTGAAGTTTGCTGAGGTCTGCCTGCCACAGAAATTCTTCCCCTGTTTCCTTCAAAAATCGCACTGGAGATAGGTCTATATCCTGTTTACATGCTTTACTGCTAAATATTCCTCTGTTTAAGCTCAGGTGCAGCAGGGATGGGCACAAACAATGATTCCACATGGGATGCAGCATAACGCTTTTAGCAGCAGGTACTTCCAGGAGGGAGGTTTGTGTTCATTGCTCCAGGAGAAAGAAATTCAACACATCAACAGAAGCAGGCAGCATGCCTGGCTCAGAGCAGTGCTGATGCAGTTGGCAAAGAAAGAAAACGGGGCCATCGTTTGTCAGCAGTTTTGGTTCAGACATACAGTACATATGGATGTGTGTGAGCAAGACTTCTAACTTCTCTGTGCAGCAACACAGCCACAGGTGGCATTCCCTCTCTTTTTACAAAAATCAGGTGAATGTACTCTAGTTTTTTTCCAGCTAGAAAAATGGGGAAGCCCCATGGATTTGAGGTGTGGGGAGTTTAAATACAAACAAATAATCTCCCTCCTGGGTGGGGTGCAGTGTATGGCACCGGTGCAGTGTATGGCATCTACCTCCAGCCCTGGTGCAGCCTGTGTAAGAAAGCTGGGGCAGGTGGGGTTTGGAGTCAAGAAAGAAATAAAAATGTACTAGGGAAAAAGAACTTCTCCAAGTATTTCTTTTACTTGAATGCTTTGACAAGACTCCGTTGCAGCTAAGGGCACATCCTTATTCAGAAATATTTGTAAACAATTAATAATCAAAAATATTTACTTTTCATGTGTACACTAAGGAGGGCTGCAAACCTGCAAAATAAGGATTGCAGCCATGATGTTGGTGTGGACTACTGAGCTTGACAGTGGCTCAAATGGAGGAGCAGAGAGCTTTCACTGAACATGGCTCCAGCCCTCGGACTGGGGAGGAAAAGGGGCCTCACAGAACAGTATGAGGAGGCAGAAACCCCCAGCTGAAAAACATAAGGTAGTGGAGAAATCCCTGCTTGGGCTGAAGGCACACAGGCAGCCCTGGCAAGGCGCACTGCTGCTCATGTCCCCGTGTGGCTGTGGATTTCAGTGAGGAATCGGCCCCCAGCAAAGCAGACAGTTCCCTGTGATATGAGGTGAACACATCACACTGATTTGGGGACCTAGGGATGGTGTTCGCCTCCTTGGCAAAGGCAGCCAGGGCTGGGCTCCGCTGTCTGCATGGGGCTGTGGTGATGCTGCACCAACAACATGGGTGAGGCAGAGCCCAAACACCAGCATCTCCCACAGGCAGCTCTACTTTGTCACACACCACTCTTATCTTTCTAACGCTGCTTCTCCTTGCACTTTTTCAACCTTGACCAGTAGTTACAGTGTTGCTTCTTCAAAAGATGCCTGTGAATCCCTCCTTTGCCCACATTGCCTTTCCTCAGATTATTTAAAAAAAAAAAAAAAAAAAAAAAAGAAAAAAAGAAGACACAATAATAATAATAATATTAAAAAATAACCACCATGGCCACCACATCATTCCCTCTTCATCCCATCCGAGACAGGCCCCAGAGCATCCCAGCAGTGCACTGCCGGTGGGACACAGGGAGAGGCAAATTGATGCCCTACAGCGGCCCTGGGGGAGCCGAGAGCTGGGGGAGCTTTGAGAAACGTGGGTGCTGCCCGCCGCCACTGCCCCGCACTGCTCTCAGCGCTGAGCTGCCAAGCGGGATGGAAGCACCAGCTGCTAAGAAAACCCTTCTAAATAACCATCATTCCGCACGCATGTAGACGTGCCTGTGTGCGCGTATGTATTTCTATGCACTTAAATAGAGAGAAATACACTCGCAGTGTGCCCAGGCCCAGCACCGTGGGGCAGGAGCCGCCCGTGGGCCGGGAGCACCGGGAGGAGCGGGGCCGGAGCGGGGCCGGGGCCGCCGGGCGCTGCGGGTGGAGAGCGATGTCCCCATCCGGCCCGGCTGCTCGCGGCTCCCGCATCCGCTTCAAAGAAAAGAAATTAAAAATAAATCAGTGAAATATATATATATATATATACAAAATTAGGGGAGTTCTGTAGGTATAGGATTGTTTGTTTGTTTGTTTTTCTTGTGGCAGCGCGAGTGTCCGATCGAGGCAGTTCGGGTGCTACGAATATAAGACGACAATACACCTAATTCCGTCGTCATATAGATATAATATATTTCACTCTCACCACATAAATACAAAACATCCAAATATCCAAAACAGTCAGAACAAAAGTTAGTAGCAAGGGCTCAGCGCTCGGTTCGTTCCGTATTTCCCGACTAGTTGCCTAGAGACTTTCGACGTCAATAATTTACAATAAAATTACTATTTTCTTTCTGTCCAGCTCCTTCTGTCCACTTCTGGTCTATTATTAATTCTATGCACTACAGAAACCGTTCCACTCGTTGTCAGTCTGTTTTTTTTTTGTTTTTTTTTTTGGTTACAGTTTGGTGGCACGCATTTATACAGTTTGTAAACGTCATGTGTTAAAGTTTAGAGAAAGAAACTTCAAACCAAAGCGAAGAAATATTATTATTATTATTAATATTATCCCAAAGAATTAAGTAAATACAGAATCCCTTTTCTGGCAAATTCAAGTACTGAAATCGAACGGGAGATCGATGCGGGATGTGGCCGGTGTGATACAGGCGGTGGTGGAGAAAACAGCAGCGGGAAGCGGAGGGGATAAGGCCGCTACAGAGATGTATCTTGAAGTACAAAAATAACAACAAAAGATGCGCTTTGTATATTTTACGTTCGTTTTAATTGAAGTGTGAGCGATAACCGAGAGGGTTATTTAGGAGGAAGAACGCTGACGGCTTTGTGATGCGCTCTGCAGTTGTGTGGGAAAAGAAAAAAAAAAAATCAAACAGAAGGAAAAAAAAATAAAATAAAATCGACAATCGCAACGGATCTGGGTGCAAATCGAGTCGCGATTCCGTTCTCTCTCTGCGGACTCGTTTAGCAGAGCGGGGCGGAAGGCAAAAAGGGTGTTGCTGCAACCCGCGGGCTGAGCGCGGCTCGGGCACGGCGCGGTGCTGCGTCCCGCAGGGCTCAAAGCGCTACGGGGATCGACCGTGGAACGGAACGGCCGCCGGGAAGTGCCCGGCTGCGGCCAGGGCCGGGCAGCAGTGCCGTGAGGGGGTGTGTAAAGCCAAACCTTTGTGCTTAAGTCACTGAAGTCCGGGGGGGAAAAAAAAGAAAGAAAACCAAAACGAAACAACCCGGGCATCACCTGGCAGCTCCTCTCCCCGAATCCTCTCCGGGCATCGAGCACCCTGTGCGCTCTCCCTTTCCTACCGAAGCTGACGAACGCACGGACAGACGGCCCCGGGTGGACAGACGGACGGACGCTCCCGGCCCGGCGGGGGCTGCAGGGTCCCCGCTCCGCCCCGGCCCTCTTAAGGAGCCTCACAGAGAGGGACGGAGGGAGGGGGGCATAAATATCGCCACAAATAGATACTATAAATATAAATACGGGGAAGTTACTTCGAGTCAGTCCAGTGCTTTTTTCTCAGCGCTTTCTTTATTGTTGGTCCGGGAGTAGGGCTCGAAGGCGGACGAGCTCAGGTAGCGGGCCGACAGTTCCTGCAAGTTGCCCGCCAGCGAGCCCGCTACGGCCAGCGGCGCGGAGGAGAGCCGCCCCGCCACCGAGCCCAGCAGCGTGGGCACCGGCAGCCCGAAGAGCCCGTGCCCGGCGGCGGCGGCGGCCGCTCCGTGCAGCGCCGCCGGAGGGGGCGGCCCCGCCGCGGTGCCGGCGGTCGGGGGGTGCGGAGCCCCGCACCCCCCCGAGCGCCGGCACCG